CCAAGGACTCAGAGCTCCGGGGCTTTTAGGAACCAGCCTCTGAACTTTGATGAAGTGATCGAGTGATGAGGAGCAGCTGAAAACACCAGAGACGCCTACTTCCTGTCCACCGAGCGTCTGTTTCCCCCCTGCTGATGATGATGATGATGATGGTGGAGGGTCGTTTGGACTCCAGACAGCAGAGGAGGACTCAGAGGTTCTGGTTCTGGACTCACGGGTCTCTCCAGGTCTTGAGTCTGGTTTTAGCTGTTTCTCACACATCAGAGTAGACCCCCACAAAATCCTCCAAGTTCTGCTTCACTGCCTCAGAGCGGGAAACCAACAGGAAACAGATGACTGTCAAAATAAAAGTCCTTCCAACCGTATATCAAACCAACTAATCATCCAACCATTTATTCATCCAACCATTCATCCATTTATCCATTCATCCAACCATTTAAGCATCCATCCATCCATCCAAACATTTATTCATCCAACCAACCATTTATCCATTCATCCATCCATCCAACCATTTATTCGTCCAACCAACCATTTATCCATCCATCCAACCATTTATCCATCCATCCTTCCATCCATCCATTTAACCATTTATTCATCCAACCATTTATTCATCCAACCATTTATCCATCCATCCGTTCATCCAACCTTTTATTTATCCAACCATTTATCCATCCGTTCATTCATCCAACCATTTATCCATCCAGCCGTTCATCCAACCATTTATTTATCCAACCATTTATCCATCCATCCATCCGTTCATCCAACCATTTATCCATCCAACCATTTATTTATCCATCCGTTCATCCAACGATTTATCCATCCAACATCCTTCCATCCATCCAACCATTTATTCATCCAACCATTTAKTCATCCATCYGTTCATCCAACCTTATATTTATCCAACCATTTATCCATCCATTCTTTCATCCATCCATTTATTTATCCATCCATCTGTTCATCCATCCATTTATCCATCCAACCATTTATTTATCCAACATCCATCCGTTCATCCAACCATTTATCCATCCAACCATTTATTTATCCAACATCCATCCATCCGTTCATCCAACATTTATTCATCCAACCATGTATCAGTTCATCTAATGAATCTAATATTTGGACTCTTCAGTCATCTGCTAATAAAAACAGTTTTTTCTCTCTGACTGCAGTCGAGCTTCACTCCTCCTGAAGAAACAAACTGTTTTTTGTTTTTAACTGAGAGGACGAGTAAAATCTGAACCATCCGGATCCCAAACCCAGAGTGTTTCCTCATGGTGGTGGCGGCCATTTTTTTACCTCGATGATGAAAATCCTGTTTCAGRTGTAAAAGTTTGTCCAAAATTAAACTCTTTTCTCTCCGAATCTGTCCCCTCTCTGGCTCCTGTTSGTCCCTGCAGCAACAACGACGACGAGGACCTGAGTCCGGAGCAGAAGATGGAGCGGGAACGGGAGCGGAGGATGGCCAACAACGCTCGGGAGCGCCTGCGCGTCCGCGACATCAACGAGGCGTTCAAGGAGCTGGGCCGGATGGTGCAGCTGCACCTGAAGAGCGACAAGCCTCAGACCAAGTTACTGATCCTGCACCAGGCCGTGGCCGTCATCCTGAGTCTGGAGCAGCAGGTCCGAGGTCAGTGCAGACTAAACCCACCTCCACCTGCAGCTRCAGGTGTGTTAGCAAAATGTCAGGCTGGAGCCACCGTCTGAGGAAGGTCAGAGGTCGTCGCTGTGACGTCACCAGCCTTTAATGGAAGAAAAGTCAAATTATGTGCTTTTATTTTGAAAAACATAAACAKGAAGTCACTAAAAACGCTCTCCTCTGCATCCAGAGCGAAACCTGAACCCGAAGGCGGCCTGCCTGAAGCGCCGCGAGGAGGAGAAGGTCACCGTGACGTCGGACGGGACTCCGCTGTCGTTGGCCGCCGCCCACCACGCCGCCGCCGCCGCCGCCGCCATGGGCGATGGACCAAACCCCATGGGACAAATGTAAAAAGCAGCAACATCTCCTCCCCCCCTGAATGGTCAGATTTCACTTCTGCTCTGATCAGCAACTCCAACCCAAAAAACAAAAAACCGATCAGAAACAAAAAAAAAAAACCACAAAGTTTTCTCTTTTTTTCAGCATTTCGACTTTTTGTCCGATTCCTCCGGTTAAAAAAAAAAACGGTTTCTGTTTCCCGTCCAGGTCCAAGGTGCCGGAGTTCATCAAGATGATGAGTGACCACTTCCTCTGACGGCGTTTCCACGATGACCAATCAGACCCGCCGACGCGGGTGTTTCGGCTCGGACCCGCCCCCTCATCTTCCTCCTTCCAGTTCGTCATCTCCGACCCTCCTCTTCGTCGTCTCCTCCCGTCAGGAACTCGGACAACCGGGTCGCTTCGCCTCGCGCTCGGCCGGCCGAGGCGACCCGGACGCTTTCTTCACGAAGAGCGGCTGCAGGGACGGACGAAAACAATCAGCTAAAAACTGGTGGAGTTTTGTCGGCGTTCCCAGTTTGACCCAGAAGGTTCTAAATAAAATAAATATATATTATTAAAAAAAGGGAAAAGACTTTGTTAAAACGAGAACAGAACAAAAACATATCAAAGTGTTAAAAGAGATTTGTTTTGTTGTTTTTAAACTCTGCGCAGCCGAACGCCACGCTGTGGACGAAGCTGCGCCTCATCTGAACAAAACAAGACCAGAAACACAGCAGGACCAGGTCACAGGACCAGGTCACAGGACCAGGTCACAGGACCGGGTCACAGGACCAGGTCACAGGACCAGGTCACAGGACCGTTATAAAACATTAGAAAGAGAAACAGATTTCCACTCAGACCTCTTTGGTTCAGTACGAGCTCAGAAAGAACCAACCCTGGACCCGGAGGACGTGGGTMTGGTCTGGAGTCAGAACCGCTCCAATCAACAAAGGTTTGGCACATTCCCTTGAGTCGAAGGTTTAAACTCCGAGAGCAGGTGGAGTCCTGGAGGAAGATGGGACTGAAACGGGGTGGGGGAGGAGAAGAACCTGAGAATCATGAGAAGCTGGTTCTGCAGGGGGAACGATCACCGAGTCTCCAAGCATTCCCCGTCGGACCGTTAGGGTTCCCACGTGTCCTGGTTTGTGTCCCATCCATCCGTGGTGGACCGGGGGGCTTTAGATTGATGCCAAGGTTTTAAATTGGTTCCAAGGATTGGGCCTGTTTGGACCGAAGAACTGTCTCATCGTTGGTGACCAAGAAGAACCACAGAACCATGTTTTATCTCCACAGTTGTAGCTTCTTTGGATTTCCAGTCGGGGAGCATTCCGTTTCTTAGTTTTGCCCCTAACCCTTMGATTTTAGCTCTCCTTGGCCGTTAYAGGATGTCCCACTTTGTTGTTGTGAAGACTTGTCCCATTTCTACCCCTAAAGTTCACATCATTTTATCCACAAAGGGGTTTGGGACAGTGGTTCTCTGTTAACCCCAACTCCTGGTGTTGAAGATTTTGGATTTGAAAATGTTCCTCTTCAAAATGTCCAGAATCAGCAATTAGCTATACAACCAGCAAAAGCTGATCCCAACCCCCAGCGTCTGTTGAGACACCCCCACAGCGGTTCCAGACCTGACAGRATCCCTCCAATCAGTCCTGGGTCTTCCTCTGCACCTCTTTCTCGTGGTGTTTTCATGGAAAACCTCCAGAGATTTTAGTTCCAAACACATTCTGTTAAAGATTGGYCCAATTAGACGCCCAACCACCTCAGCTCGGCCACCCTACTGGATCCAAGATCTGAGTTTTCTTTTGGTCCTGATCCAAACCTGCTCGTCATAGGAGAGGTTTGGACTGGTTAATTGGGAGTTTTATTTCTAATCGTGGTTTGTTCCTCGATCGAAAGAAATGTTTACATTTAGGGGCGCAGTATTCTGAAAYGCATCACACCCCTTGAGTTGAAGTATGTATGGACCATCCCCCTGCTTGACCAAAGGAATTAGGACCCCCGACCCTTAGTGTAGACCAAACACAGAGGTAGGATGGAGTGGAGGGATGTGAGGTTATTATTTTACCAATGGAGCAAACAGGATTTGTATTTTCATTTGTTTATGACWTTGAGTCCTGTTTGGGTCTTTGTTACCAAACCTTGGACCCTCTTGGGACCAAGGTGTGATAACAAACCTTGTCCATCCCTGRCTTGGACCATCATGGGACCATTATGGGACCAAGGTTTGGTAACAATCCTTGGTCCCATAATGGTCCAAGGTTTGGTAACAATGTTGGTCCAAGTCAGGGATAGACAAGGTTTGGTTACAAACCTTGGACCATCATTAGACCAAAGTTTGTTACCAAACCTTGTCCATCCCTGATTTGGACCATCATTGGTCCAAGGTTTGGCACCACACCTTGCCCATCCCTGACTTGGACCATCATTGGACCATCATTGGTCCAAGGTTTGGTATCAAACCTTTTCGATCACTGACTTGGACCATCATTGGACCATCATGGGACCAAGATGGTTTGGTAATAAAGCGTCTCCTGAGCCATCAGGGTTTTTGATCAAAGTTCAGCAACACAAACGAATCACGAAGAAGAACTGAGATGATTTCAGTTCAGGAAGTTTCAGCATCAGAACATTCAGTTTCATATATCTGGTATCAATCTGAAGCCCCTCGCCACRTCTCTCTTAACTCCCCCCAAGTCCAACTCTGGTCCCGGTACCTCACGGATACTAGCCTTACAAGCCCCGGACACCTCTCCCACCCGGTCCCTCCCACAGATGCAATTGAAACATTCACACTTCTGCCGATGTGCCTTTTTAGAGTTCATATCATTGAGGTTGCCAGAGGAGGACATTTTACCTGGTCTTTTAATAGGATGCAAGCTTAGGGACACCTGTTCTTAGTCGTTAGGTTCTATGCAGTCAGGTTTTTTACCAGACCTGGAAATTTAAAAAAAGCTAAAAAAGAAAAAAAAACAAGTATTTTTTGGATAATAAAAAAAGTAAACTGTATTTAATGTACTGTACGCTTATATGTAAGTAGACCGCGTGTTCTGGCTTCAGGCCGGCCGGATAGACGCTTCGTYTAGCGAGACTAGTCCTCATCCTGGTCCACCAGAACCCCCCTGAAACCCCACTTTCCTGGTCCAGTTTCCAGAGCGGACGACGCGTCTCTTCTTGTATCATAGCTTCAGCTTTTTATCAATATTTGATCGGCTTGTCTGTGAGCCCCTGTAGTCTTCAGTACTCGGTGTRTGGTCGTTTGTTGCTCTTTCTTTTTATTTTTATTTTTTTTAAAGAACAATCTTTTATCCTGTTACTTTTTTGTCTGTTCTGGTTTACATGTCTGATACAAAAAAATGTAAAAAAAAAATTTAAAAAAAAGTTTAAATAGAACAACATAAAAAAAAACTTTTCGCTCTCCGACGGCATCGTTCTGTCAGTTGGTTAAAATCCCGACCATCCAACAGGAAATCGAGGAAACTGGAAAAAAATAATCTATTTGAATAAATCGATCTATATATAAATGTACAAAAATATATACATATATAACGAGGGCGCCGTTTTTGTTTTTTTTATTATCTGTGGCGAAGAAATGTTTTCTCGGGGAGTTTTCTCAAAAACTGAACTGGCAGAAAATGTCGAAGACCCCCTCAGTGTTATCAACATTTTTTATTWTTWTTWTTTTCAACTGACTGCATCGTATTTGTTGTTGCCATGACGACCCCGGTTACGACCAGTATGCCCCACCCCCACTCCGGCGCGGGACGAGCAAACGGGAACCGGAGCTCCTCCAGCTCCGATCGGCAACAAAGTCACAGACGTTTGTAAATTGTATGCAACAAAAAAATGGCAAACTTTACCATTATTTTGAAATTGTGTATGTAAAAGTTATATTTTTACATGTAGACGGTTGTTATTTTGTGTTTTAGAAATATGATGTATTCAAGTTTTTTTTCTTTTTTTTTCGTTAAAAGATGAAAAAAGTGAAAAAAATTCAGTGTTGGGAAAAAAGTCACATTGAAATGTTGTGATCAAAACTATTTTATAAACGTGAGAGACGTTTCTGAGGGTTTAAGGGAGAACTCAGATTAAAAAAGACATTTCTTTTTTTATTTCGTTCCTCATAATGTTAGTTTTTGTTTTTTTTTAGTTTTTTTGCAGAAAAACGTGTAAATAGTCATCGGCCATTTTTCTGTGGCGTGCAGATTTTCCAGTGAGACACGATAATTTTTTGTTTGTTTTTCGTTTTTTTCTGTAAGGTGTTTGGTTAAATTTGCCAGGTGCCAACTCTTGGATCAGTGATGCTCAGTGAGTTACGTAGTTAAGTTCAAGTTAGTGTTAGTGATTTTCATTTTCCAACCATCGGAAGTGTCAAACTGTTAGCGTGTGCTAAACATCGTTTGTATCGGATTAGCTAAATTTCCGCCCTTTTTTTTCCAAAAAAGATTTTAGATAAAAAAATGTTTGTGGCATAAATATTTGACACAAAGGAAGAAAAAAAAACTAAAACTGCAGCAAATTTTTTATCAGCCAAAGAGTGTTAATCGATGTGGCGCCCCCTGGTGGCCGGAGGTTTGCTCTGAATCCGTGACTTTTCTTTCTCTGTTCTTTTTTTAGATGGAGTTTAAAAAACAAAGAAAAGCCCTAGCACCTGATTTGTGATTAATATACGAATTTACAGGAAAAGATTGAAGCGTTGACGTAAAGAAGCAGGTCGTCTGCGAACAATCTCATCAGCTGTTTCCCCAAAAAGCAATCGGATCGCATGGAAGGCAGTTTCAATCACGTTTTGAAAGTGTTTGATGCTACATTTGAGCTTTTTTATTAAACTGACTCGGACCTACAGCAGGTCAAACACTAGGGTTGAATCTGTCGGTGTACGTGTTTTTATGAGATTTTATTTTGTTGTTTTTGCGATGTTTCATTCCATACTTTTTGTTGTATAATCAAGTTGTCTCCCAAATTACTGGATCCTCGTTTTTATTTTACCCCGGTGTTTCTTTTAGCCAAAATGTTAACTTTTTTTGTTTTATTTCCTCCTTGTTGTACATACACACCATTTTTTTCAGTGACTGTGCCATGAGCTTTGTAATCTGTTACTCTGTACCAGTTTAACTGCAATAATGAGTTGAATTCAAAATGGCCACTCCTGTCTTTTGTTCTTTGCTACTCGTTATTTGAATGTCCAGGTGGAAACATGAGCAGCACAACAAATCTGAAATATTACAACTTTGAATCTGTTCTTCTCTGAATAATTGGTAAAATGTTGTGATGGTTTGAAACTGGGTTAATTTAATTTACCACAAAGTCCAGGATACATGTAGCCTAGCTTAGCACAAAATCAAGTTTAGCACCATGTCCAACACATTTGTAGTCTTTCTTAGCACAAAGTCCATGACACAGAAACGCTAGCTTAGCAAATATAAATAAATCCAGGTTGCAGTTAGGACAAAACTTAAGATGCAATCAACCTAGCATAGCGTATAATCTAAAACACAGTTAGCCCAGCTTAGCAAAATGTCCAATACAAGGTTAGCTTAGTTTAGCACCTACAATTAAACATGTAGGATATTTTAGACCAGTGGTTCCCAAACTTTTCAGCCTTTGAGCCTGAAAATAACCAGCAGCAGAGACCTGAGACCCCCAGCTGTTGTTGGATCATAAACATTTTCACGTGAAAAAATTATGCTATAATTTAGGCTTCATTGGGCTATTTTTATCCATTTTAAGTACACTAGTCTTACTCTTTTGTAACAACAAAGGCAAAAAAATGTTAGTAGTTATTTTCTAATATAATTAATTCAGAAAATCTTTTCAGGACCCCACCTTGATGTTTTGGGACCCCAATGTGGGTCCCAAAACCCAACTTTGAGCTGTTTTAAACCATCAAAACCACAAATAAAACACTGATTTTAAGTTTTATTTGTCGTTAACTAGTTTGAAGGCAGTAAAGTTAGAGCTGGTAACCACTTATAAAACTCAGCAGTGGTATATACAGTATATATATA